CTTTCCCGTTTTGGGGGAGGGTGGTTAACAGAGAGCGTCTGTTACAGGTCTGGGCACAGCCCTGACCCTAAACTGTGACACCAGAAGTCCCTCCTTTTTGGGGTGTCCAGTTGTACCATTCCCCAAAAACATTGCGTGGATGAGATGGGCACTCCCTGGCTCATCTTGTTTCAGCGGTGTAGGTGCTGGCACTTGGCAGTGTGAAGCAATACTGCATCACTGTTTCCCCACATAGCTCCTGGCAGGGCAAATCCAACGTGTGCCTGGAGAGATGTTGGCTCTGGGAGGATGTAGAAAAAGCGTGATGGGGAGGGAGTCGTTGTACAAGTTCCCTGGGGGTGGGATGTGAAAGAGAAGAGGGGGCTTGGGGTGGTCATGAAAAGCTGGGAACCGAGAAGAGAGGGGTGGTGTCAAAAAAGGAGACAAAGTGATGTGGAGGGAAGCAGAGGCTAAATCACAGAGGACCTGGAGGGAGTTACAAGTGACATGGAGTGGCACTGGAGCAGTGCAAGCAGGAGGTGATTAGAGAGCTGCAAGTGAGCTGAGGGGGAGGTGGATACCGAACGAACGCAGGGTTGTTTTGGTGTTGCTGACTGGGAACTGCCTGCTAATTCCCTACTGCCTATGCTTTGTCCTAGGGCTCTAAATGAGAATATGGCCAATAGCACTGAAGATCTTATCGGGATCCCATTCCCAAACCACAGCAGTGAAGTCTTATGTGGACTAAATGAGCAGCGGCACGATGGTCTCCTCTGCGACGTCATCCTCATTGTACAGGACCAGCAGTACCGGACCCATCGGTCCGTCCTTGCTGCCTGCAGCAAGTACTTCAAAAAACTCTTCACTACTGGCACTTTAACAGACCAGCCCTATGTTTACGAGATTGACTTTGTCAAGCCTGAAGCACTTTCTGCCATCCTCGAGTTTGCCTACACCTCAACCCTCACCATCACCACCTCAAACGTCAAGCACATCCTCAGTGCTGCCAAGATGCTGGAGATCCAGTGCATTATCAACGTATGCCTTGAAATCATGGGGCCCGACAGAGAGGCCAAAGAGGAAGATGACAAAGAGGACGAAGATGATGATGAAGAAGAGGAGGAAGAAGAGGAGGAAGAGGAGGAGGAGGAGGAGGAGGAGGAGGAAGGGGAGGATTTTGTCAATCAGGAGAGTCTAACTGATGTCCAAGAAGTAAGCTGTCACCAAAGCCCTTCTAAGTCTGATCTTAATGAAGAAGCATATATAGAAGCACCTAAAGACTTTCCAAATCACTACCCACCCAATAACTCTGCTGGACACTTGGGTGTGATACGAGATTTCTCCATTGAATCCTTGCTAAGGGAAAAATTGTACCCTGAGGCCAACATCCCAGAAAGGAGGCCACCTCTTTCTTCTTTCACCCCTAACTTCTTCCCCCATCTATGGAACGGTGATTTTAGCTCCTTCCCCCAGCTTGAGGAGCCACAAGTAGACAACAGACCCTTGGATCTGGTGATCAAAAAGAGGAAGATCAAGGAAGAGGAGGAGAAGGAAGACCTGCCTCCACCTCCTTTCCCTAACGACTTCTTCAGGGACATGTTTACCAACACCCCAGCAGCTCCCTTAGGGCACATTAAGGCAGAGACTGACTACAGCGCTTATCTCAATTTCCTAAGCGCTGCCCAGTTCGGAGGAGTTTTTCCCCCCTGGCCCCTGGAGGAGGAGAGGAAGATCAAGCCCAAGGCGTCCCAGCAATGTCCAATCTGTAACAAAGTCATCATGGGAGCTGGCAAGCTGCCCCGGCACATGAGGACCCACACGGGAGAGAAGCCCTACATGTGTAATATCTGTGAAGTCCGCTTTACCAGGTGTGCATTGCTTACCTCTGTGTTTGGGAAGGGTGGGGAGGGGTGGTTGGGAGGTGCCACGTCATGACCCGTGGTTGAATCCTAACCTACACATCTCTTTTTCCCCCCCAAAAAAAGAAGTAGCAAAATGATCAGGGCATGATCTCTTGTCCCTTTAGGAAAAAAAAAAAAAAAATAAAAAATAAAAAAGGGAGGAAGGGAGGGTGGAGGAGTTAAAAAAAATGAACCTACTGATTTTGGTGGGTTGTGGATGACATCCACAAGTCACTGGATCCATCCCCTCACTGGACAAAAGCTTAAATAAGTAACAGGATATTTTCAACTCCTCCATAGTTCACCACAGCTGGGCCAGAGGGAGCTGCAAAACAGATGGTCGAACAGCCAAGGAGGCTTCATCTCCAATATGCGGGGAGATGTGTTGAGTTGGGAGGGCCACTTAGCTGCGGGATGTAATTAGTTTGGGTTTGCAGATTTTGGCATCGTTGTAGACCACAACCAAGCTGCACATGTTTAGGCATGACAGTGTCTGGGCTTTCTGAGGCTGGAGCGGTACTAATCATTGCATGTTAGAGAGGTGGAGGTTGGTCTCTTCTCCCAGGTAGCAAGCAGTAGGACAAGAGGAAATGGCCTCAAGTTGCCCCAAGGGAGGTTGAGGTTGGATCTGAGGGGAAATGTCTTCCTGGCAAGGGCTGTGCCAGGCTGCCCAGGGCAGTGGTGGAGTCCCCACCCCTGGAGGGGTTTCCAAGCCCTGGAGATGTGGTGTGAGGGACACGGGGCAGTGGGGACCTGGCAGGGATGGGGGAAGGGTTGGACTCTGATCTTCAGGGTCTTTTCCAGCCTAAATGATTCTATAATTCACCACCTCAAATACTTGCCATGCAAGAGCCTGGCACCTCGACTCCATCTGTGGTCAGTGGAAAGTGATCAGCACCCTCAGAGTTAGGTGAGGAAAGGAAATAAGTAAAGGTGTCACCTCTGACCACAAAAACAACCTGCAGGGCTCAGCTAACGCTGATACTAATAATCAGCTAAGGATAATACCAGCTTTTAGGTATCTCAAGTTAGGTGACACCAAGCCCAACACAGGCTGCTCCAAAGCAGGCATGCTTGGCCAGATCCATCCCTCAGGACAATTCCCTGCCCTTGCACCTCTCTTCACACCAGCAGACCCCTGGATGGGCAAGAGTGGGAGCAGGCTACACAAACTTAATGCCACAGCTTGCAACCCTTCCCTGAAAAGCTGGGCAAATTTAATTGCTGAGCAGAGACAAATAGATTCCTGGACCTGCTCTTGCTGGGTATAATTAATATCTAATGAGTACAATCTTTACCATAATAATAAAGCTTTCTGACAAGAGCATGGTATTTCAGCTCCTGGCTGTGTGTGACAGAGAAAGCTCGATTAGGCTGGGGCGAGCAAACCAGAGAAAAATAATATGCACAGTAGGCACAGGCGAGCTCCTGACAATGGCCGGACACCTGGGGTGCTCCTGCATTCAGCTTGTCTTTTCTTCTGCCGTCCCTGTGATAATATTCGAGTGGAAGTTATGCAGATGATGAGGATTTGACCTGAAAATAAATTTCCGTGCTCCCCTCCATTAACACAGCAGATAGCGTATTATAATGCGGGGAGCATCGTGCCTGGGGCAGGCGTATGCAACATGAGCTGGCTCACCCTGGTATTTGCAGGGGAAAGGCCACTGCCTGGTGCTAATTCCTGCCTGCAGGAATTTTGGATCCGGCTCCTGCTGATGTTGCATCCCCAGGTTAGTGCTGGGTTGTCACCTCCGGCCAGGAGGGCTCTGCTGGGAGGAGCAGGGTGGGTTCAGCCCCGTGAGTGTGGCTGCCAGCTCCATCCTGTGGTCCCCACTGCTCTCCTGGGTGTGATGCTGCGGGTGCTAATTGCTGGCGAGGAAATAGCTTGGCTGAACTCCTCACCAACATCTTCCCTGCAGTGGGGATAATAGAGCCCAGCCCTCCCGGAGGGCTCCCAAAAGCCTTTACGAGCAACAGCAGCATCACTGGGTTCCTCTGGGGAAACTGAGGCACGGAGAAATGTTGGTGCTGATTCAGAGTCACTGCAGAGGTTAGGAGGAGGTGGGAATTGAGGTACCCTGATCCTTAATCCGAACAGGCTAAATCAGTGCCTTGCAGGTTAAAAGCTGCAGGCAGAGCTGGTCCATCATGGCCCATCGCTAACACAGGGTTAAACCCAACAGCTTCTACACCCCCTCATGTGCTCAGCAGCTTCCAGATATAAAGCACAGGCAGTCTTTAACCCGAGAAAATAATCACAAAGAAAGTTGGGACTAACCCAATGGTGCAGTGCCGCATCATCATTCATGAAAACAAAGCTGTTTGTTTGGGTCACCTCGTCCAGAGCTGAAGGCTTAGAAGGATTTTTTTTTTTCCCCTTCTTTGTCACCCTGAGCAAAGTGGAAATTTCAAACCATGGGTTTATTTTTAAATGTATTTGGGAATATTTTGAATAGCAGGCAGCTGTTTTGTTTTCTTTGGCTCCTTTTTAGCCATTTTCAGCATTACTCTAATGTGAGAGCTCTCCTTTAGGCAAAAGTGTATTTAAGCAAAGTGGAGTGATTGAAATGTTGAAGGAGATTTCTGCTGGGATTTCCTGAATGCCACCACTTATCTTATGTGTTTTGCTCTCGGGGGGAATCTCATGCTTCCCAAAAGCATCAGACTCAACACCCATGGCAGTGAGCGGTGCCTTTGCTGGGGAGACACAAGCCCAGATGGTCCAGTCACCCCTGGATCTCCGCAGGAATGAGGGTGCAGGGAACCAGAGGTTCCTGAACAGGATTATCTGAATGTGTCTGTCCTTTGCATAATTTCTCCTCTCAAGGAACTGTGGAGGAGCAGATTTACTGAGGGAAGCAGAGAAAATACATTTCCCTAGGTTGGGGACTCCCCCAGCCTCCCCATCCGATCGGATCCCCTTCGCATCAGCGGGATCCGCATCCCACGGCCAGGGCTTCACATGCACCTGGACCTGCCACGTCCAACTCCCAGGGACATCTGATCGCAGGAAGCAGGACTTCATTTAATAGCTCATTAATTTTTTCCTTAAACAAAAGGCCGCTCAGCTTCTCGTCTGCTGTTTTACCCTGCTAAAAAGCTGGAGAAAACGGCAAATGTTTCAGCTTTTCCACCAAGACAACCCTGGAGTGCTCAAGGAGAAACTGTTCCAGCCAGAAAGGTTAACATTATTTGTTCCTATTATTTGTGTTGTGACAGCTCGCAGAGCCCTAATCGCTCTCCTAATGCAATTGCATTAAGGTTATTCACACACACAGAGCACGGTTCTCCTTTGGAGAGCCCGCGAGCCGAGCTCCCACCTCACAAATCCCATGTTTCCAGCACTGCGTCCTCCCCCGGGTGCTTCACTGCAGCCAGACCCCCTCATGCCCCCCACCCAGCGTCTGAGCGTGTCCAGGTAGAGCCATAAAACTTCTCTTCCATCCCGCAGAGATGCTGCTGGGGCTGGGAGGACTGAGTTTCTCCCCGTCTGCTGCCAGGGATGGGTAATGGGATGAAAAAAGCTTTTGCTGTATTTACATTATACAGTCTTGGCACGCCGCGTGTTTATTAGGAAAAGCGATCCTGCTAGGTTAAACATTACATATATAAGTTTAAATTATATTATAGGTGGGGCTGGTAGCTCTGCTTTTTATTAGCATTTCCCAACACTTCACATTACGAGCCCCTGCCTTCCTCTGCTTACGACTTCACTGCACATTATCCGTTTGGGATGAAATTTTCCATGCAGCCTTGCCTGCTGCTGAGAACTGGTTTCCAGCCCCCTAGGGGTAAATGTGCCCTTCTTAAAATCTTGGGGCAACAACACCTCGGAAAATTCCTGAATAGGAAGTTGGGATCTGGCCCTGTGCTTGGCATGGGGACTGAGAGAGAGTTTTTTCCTGTCTCCCTAAAAATCTGGATGAGTTCTAAACCTCATGCCAGCTCATTACAACCAGGGAGCATCTCCACTGCCTGTGCTGCCACAGCAGATGCAGGACCAGGCTGAGACCAGTTTCCCAAAGTCCATAAAGCATCAACATCTGCTGAAAAAGTGACTCTTCTGCTAGGGATACTTCTCTGCACCCTCAATCCCACAGGACTGTTTTGTAGGGATGCTCATCCCAGGGCTGCACTTCTTGAGACGAGCCCAACACCACTGTGGTGCTGGTCGTGTCACCAAAAACTCTTTCAAGATGCACACGGGCAGAAAGAGTTCAAAGGCAGCACCCTGCAAGTTTTGAGAGCTTGATTTGCCAGCATAATCTGAATTTTTGGGGTGATTTTTGCTTTTTTTTTTTTTGCATGCTCATGTATTTTATATACAGTAATGACGTGACTCCATATATTCTACATATTCTTAGCCACTTTATTAACATCCTGGAGGGATCATACTGAAAGCATTTCAGAAAACTATATGAATTCTCCCACTTTGCTGTTTACTCAAACTCCTCTGGTGCAACCTACGCAGTGCACTTGGCTCAGGTCAGCTACAAGCAGCTTTTGCTTTTTATAATCCTATGTCTTAGCTGTGATTTTTGTAGACTGAAGAAGGAAACATTAAACTGGAAAAAAAAAAAAAAAAGTGATTGGGCTGCTAGCTTGGGACAATATTCTTCTTTCTAGATGTTCCCCTTAAAAAAAAACCCTATATTTCTGAATAAGTGCCGTTGAGATGGGTGTTATGGTGCCTCATGGTTGTATTTAAAAAGCTCCAACATGTGTGAGAGGCTGGATGTGTGCTGGCCTCGGAGAACGTTGGCAGGGAAGGACGGAGCTGCCCGCAGCTCTGCCTGCCTCACCCTGTGCCACGCTCCAAAAGAAAGCTCTTGAGACACCCAGTGGTCAGTGCGAGGAAAGAAGGAGAGGAGACTCGCCTCCAGGAGGGACTTCATTTCACGGTGATAGGATCATAGAAACAGAGAATAATTTGGGTGGGAGGGGACCTTTCAAGGTCATCTTGT